ACTCACGGACCGCGAGATCGTGACCTGGCTGAAGTCGGACGCTTAACCGACTGCGCCACCCAGGCGCCCCTTAACAAAATTTTTTAAATGCAAGGTCAGGTCTACCCCACGCCCCCTGCACACCAGGACCACCCATGAAATGCACCGTTCCGTATCTACAGGATGTTACGAATGGTCTGGCTTCACCAACTTGCTTCTGAAAAGAACACCCCGACTTCTGCTACCTGTTTGATTCTTCCTTCCAGGTCCCCCATCAACGACTCCTCCCAGCCATACTCCACGGGGAAGTTTATTTCCACCAGCCGCCTCCAGACCTGCAAAAGCCCTCATGTCAGTGACAGCCGCAGGACAGCTAAGGGCCACGATGAATTCTACGAGAAAGGAAAGACTGTTATGGCAGCTCCAGGGGCGCGGGACACCTGGGTTCTGACCGCGTCTCTGTCACCGGTGAGCCGTGTCAGTGGCGAGGCAGGGCAGCCGTCCTCGTCCCAGTCTTTGGAAAGGAAGGGCTTCGACAGGACCAGGCAGCGGGGATGGTCCTCCTACCGTGTAGCTGGTCTCTAAGCTGAACCTATCTGTCTCCTATTCCAGCTCAAGGAACTCCGAACATAAAACAAAAGTTGCAGGGACGGCCCGGTGAGACCCCTGTTCCTTCACCTGGATTCCCCAGTTGTTGGTATTTAACAGCTGCTTTCTCGGTCTCCTTCGTGAAGCGTTTTCTCTGCAGAACCACAGGGAGAGAAGGTGCAGGCTCCGCGCCACGTGGTCCTCTAAACACGTGGGAAGGAATCTCCTGGCATCGTGGCCCTTCTGCCGCACGATCACGGTGCAAGCGTCACGCTCAGGGCGGTTGGTGTTGGCGGGACCCTGTCCCCTGACGGGGGTGATGGGGAGGCCGTCCATTCTTCTCTCTGTAGACTGTCTCTCGATCTGACTTGACTCCTAATTCTCCCATGAGGACAAGCAGATCCCCGACACCCCGCTTCCTAACGCTCACACCCACTGAGTTCAGCACTCGTGGATGAATCCTGACGGAGTCCACGATCACCGCCGTGTTACAGATGAAGGTTGTGACCACGGCGGTTTCCTCCACCTCCGTTGGCTGCATTCTCCAATAAAACGAGGAACTTCTCTTTCTCTCCTCCCCCCCCTTTCTGTTTCTGTAAACACGTTTCAAGGATTAATGAGCTGTCTGTTGTCCAGTCCCGGCATTACTCGTCCGGATGACCAAATTGTCCCAGGTTCGGCTAGCAGTCCCTTCGGACGACCTTCTGTTTCCTTTTTTCTAGAAACGTGGAATGACTCTAGACTTACAGAAATATCGCAAAGATGCGACGGAGTGCCCACGTATGGCCAACTCGTGTTCCCCTTGAGCTCGTGCCTTACTCGGGCACAGTACGGCTGCCAAAGCTCGGAAACGGTGTCACCGGGTACCAGGAGCTAAACGAGCGACTGTCCCGGGAGCTGGTCTGGGACGCTGGCCTGCCACGAGCCCTGTGTCTACCAAAGGGGTGTCAGGCTGTGGGGCCAGCTGTCCTGCCTGGAGCCCAGGTTTCTTTTAGTGGGGATGGTAAACCCAGGCCTGGGGGTGCTCGCGACGCTCAGGGGCCTGGCCGGCATGACTTCCAGGCCTTTCAGTGGAGAGCTGGGAGCCCCTCCAGCCCTCCAGGTCACGAGCTCACAGCAATACCACGGGCCCCTGGCCCTCTGCCACGTCTGCTTCTCCACAGTGAGAAAGACGCCTGGCTTCCGAATCCCTGTGCCCGGTGCTCACACAGACAACTCCAGAAGCGCTCCGCCCGTCCCACTACCAACAACGAAATTTCTAAATAAAGCTCAAGGTTGACGTGCATTTTCTTCATTTTGACCTCAGACTCTGTCCCTCTGAGGGTGAGTGATAGGACTTCTGTGCTCCAGGCATTTGGATTGATGCCCCCTTCCGTGTGGAGAAGGGGTTAAGTCTGAGACGTACGAGCATCACCAGCCCTGTTCACGCACAGGGTCGGCTGTGTGATTTTACCACTATCCCGTTCAAGTGTCCTGGGAGGCAAGCACCTGCTGAAATCTGGGTCGAGGGGGTGAAGGGGGCCATCCGGTTGGGTGGCTCATCCCTTCTCTACAGCTGCGTCCTGGCAGCTGGCTACAGTCTTCAAGAACACAGCCCGGTTCGCCCGCTGTGGGGCTCTGATGGGGAGTCCCCGGGGCTGGGCTGCCCGCGCTTTGGTCCACTCTCTCGTCATGTCCCCCAACCCCGTCACCTCTTCTGTGAGACAGGGCTAACAGCCACACCTGCCTCAGAGTAGATGTTCGGCTACATTTTAATCAGTATTATCTTACCATTATTAATTACTGCATTTAACTGAGAATCCTCTCGTGTCAACGGACCACAAGCCACCCTTCGCTCATTCTTAACGCTTGGGGGATTATCCTGCCCAGTTTCCCCTTCAAGTAACTCTTGCCTTTTCCAGCCAAACCGCCTGCCAGCGTCCTTGCTGAAAGGGAGCCCTCTCCCCGCAGGCCCCGCGTCTCAGCACCTTCCCTTCCCCCGGGGCCTGTGGCGGGGGGGGGGGGGGGGGGGGGGGGGGCCACAGTGGACCCCACCAGGTGGACCGTGGGCAGCACGACCAGCCCTGGCTGTGCATCCTGGGGACAGAGCACGGGGCCAGCGTGCCGCGTCAGTGCCTTGGCCCCACACAGCTCACCTTGATTTCCTCCCGGTATCTGAACGTGACCTGCGACCAGTAGCTGAAGAACATGCTCTCCTGAAAAATGCTCTGAAGCCAAGCTCTGGTCTTGGCGACCGTCCCCTGGAAGACTGTTTTCACGGAGTTCTTCTTCCCGGTCTCCTTTCCTGGGCCTTCAGCTGAATCCGGCTGCTGAGGGAGAGAGAGGGCGCATAAGGGTCCCCGCACCGTGACTCGGGACATTCTGGAGACACCACTCCCCCTTCCCGATCCGCGGCAGGTGCTCGAGAACCAGCCACATCGGAGTCACATGAGCGCGTTCGAGACCTCAGCCTCGCCTACGTTTCAAGGCGCTTCGATTTCACGGGACTCTGTGGCTTTGCTCTGCGAGTGGGCGGCTCGGGCAAAGCAGGGGGCTTGGGAAGGATAAGCCTTCTGTCCCTGTGAACCCCCCCAGTGCAGCGACAGCACAGGGGGACTCCGCCTTACCAGTGAGCAGGCCACACCAGGCCGCCTTCTCCAGATTGGCTGGGAGAGGACGTGCCCCAGTGGCAGAGCCTCCAGCAGCCCAGAGACTCCCCAACTGGTGCACCACGCAGACCCCTGCTCCTTGGACAGAGGTAAACCCGAGGCCGCTTCCGTCCACACTTTTTTCCCACGAGGTTTCCCCTACTCCGAAAAATCCTTTCTCCCTGGGGTCCGGGCTCTGGCACTGGGGTCCGGGCCCTGGCCCTGGGGTCACGGGCCCTGGCCCTGGAGTCTGGACTCTGGCCCTGGGGTCACGGGCCCTGGCCCTTGTACAAGCTCTGACCCTGGGGTCACGGGCCCTGGCCC